GGGATCCTGCTCTTTGGGAAAAGAAAGGAGCAACAAGCTCTTTAAAAGAGGGAGGTGGATCTCCATGAATTGGGCTGGTTCTCCAAGTGCTGACAGCCAGCTCTGTTGGCTTTGGACAACCCTACATTGGGTTGAACTGAAGCATCTTGCAGAAAGGCCTCCAGGGATAGACCCCAAAGGTACTTAGGCAAATACTGAAGTTAGGAATCACTGCCTGTCTGGGATGCTGTCTCTTGTGCTGCCTAACCTGGAAGAAGCCCAATGTTCCCCCAGTAGCTTACACAAAGAGCCACGAGAGCCAATGCTGCTCCACAGCTAACGAGCTGCTCTAAGTCTCTGCTCAGGTCTCAGTTCTGGGGGGTTTTCAGTTGAGGTGCCCCCACCCCACTCATTAACTCAGCAGCTCCCATTTGCTAGGGATTCTCAGATTACCAGCACCCTCTAGATGGGACCTTCCACGTTGGGACTGTGTGTGTGTGTCCATGAGCATCCATGTGTGTGCACCCTAGCATAGTGCGTTGGTTTAGATTCCTCCTGTAGAACACTCTCAGACCACGGCCCATGGATAGAACCTTCCTGCTCAGAAATGTGTGCGCGTCTCTGCATTCCTCTACCTTCCTGTGCAGAGGTCAGGGTGTTTGTGTGTCCAGGTGTCTGTGTATGGTTACTGACTTTACCTAGAGTGGGAGAGGCACACATTCAAATCCCTGTTCTACTGAGGGTTTATTTGTTTAAGATAGAACAGTCCCAGCCAGACACACCACTCCTGTGGGAGACCTGTGTGTATGCCCTATGCCCATTCTCCCAATCAGGTAAAGCAGAGAGTTTGGATCTGGTTCTCCCACGTCCCTCTTGGAACTGTCAGGAGAATACGCTGCCCTGTGCAAGGCACCTCACTCCAGGAGAGGGCTCACAGCTGGCAATTGTAAGTGGAAAGAGCAACCTCTCTCCAGCCCATCAGCCAGTACCCTAGAGGTCCCAATCCATGGGAGTTAGCGGTTTATTGAAAATATTCAGGATTTGGAGCCTAGAGAAGCTAAGGAGCTGGAGAGATTCAAGACGGAGTAGAATGGTCCCATCTGTGGCCTGACGGCCTCTGTGTTGTTCCAGAGAATGAAAGTTTCAGGAAAAGAGAACATCAAATGAGAGTAGTTGGGTCCCTCCTTCCAGATGATGTCATGATACCCTCTCGTACCGAGGATACGTACAGGGGATCTGC